GCACTGTTTTTTACCTTGAATTGTTCTGTTTTGTACACTTTCAAAGCAGTTTTGTCCACTTTTCCCAGAAAATTATTTTCCAGGAGTCGCCGATCGGAGCAGTGGGCAACCAGATAGCGGATCAACTGAGGCACATTGACTTGCAAGAGGACTCGCTTCTCGATGACGACGACCTGCCACCGCCACCTCCACCACTTATGCATACATCACTGGTGTGCCAGATGCCCACTCCACCAGCAATGCAATTTGTTGCGCCATCGGAAAATTCCATTCCGCCACCACCTCCACCGCCGCCCCCTCCACCCCCACCGCCTCCCGCTGTTACGGTGCCAACAACCACTCAACAGTCTTCCACTGCAATTGCCACGTTTGCTAACAAAGAGGAAACGAAAAGTGACAAGTCGGCTGCCCAAGTTTCAACTACACACACCAATCTGCTTGCTGAAATACGATCCGGAATTAAGCTCAAACAGGTCATAATTTGTTATTGAATAAATAGACAGTTACGCACCGTTTCCAGTGCAAAACCGAAAAAGATATGCGTATCTTAATTACGGATTCAGATCGCTTTTAATTTCATTCCCCTTGGACAGGTTTGTTGGAAATTGACTTGTGTCTCGATAAATTCAAATTGTACTGCTGATGTTTTTGATATGTTAAGACGTTAAATTCAAAACATGTAGAGTTTTTTTAGGTGCAAAGAAAGGAACGGGCTGCAGAGGAGAAGGCAGCCGCAGAAGCAAATGATGTTGCGGCAATATTGCGCCGGCGCATGGAGCATATTCTTGGACATTCGGACAGCAACAGCGACTCGCCCACAGACGACGATGAGGAATGGGACTAGGAAAGGGTCCGCACTTTGTCACTTCTCCCTGTAATGCCTTCTTTGACGGTGTTTTTCGCATTTCCTCCACGGCAGTTTATCTTTTTGCTTGCATGCTTCTTGCAAAGCTTCAGTTCAGTTTGACAACAGTGCAAGCAAGCTTTCTTGGATTGACGGGTTCCTCAAGGCGATTTGCACAGCAGCGTTCCTCTAAATCGTAATGCCCCTGACATCTCGAGTTCTACGTACATTCAGGATGTCAGTGGCTGATTGCATGCGTGAGGATAAGTGTGTTGAGCTAGATGACAGTTTTTCAATCTTTGTACTGGAAAATTTTTCACATGGGATGCAAATGGTTGTGAGATTTTGCCTTGCTTATCGTGATAACCCACAGTAATGGCGAAATCTGTTAGCACTGCCAAAACCTGCCCAAATTTTGCTGCGAAAAACGAATTGAGTGAGGAGAACGTTTCGCCTTTATTTCGATATGACATTAGATAATTGTGCACTACAGTTAAACAGTAGTATCACTAAAGAGGCCGTGAAAAGAACGAGTAGTAATGTTCTAATTAGCACAAGTTGTCATCTCTGGCAATTTTAAGGCCCAGCCGTAGTTTTGGGACATTAAAAGGGGGCAGTCCACGAACTAGTGAGATATAGCCATGCCCAACAGGGCTCCGCCGCAAAATAGTGTAAATATCTTAAACCTGGAGTGGAAATAGATTTAATATGGTGAAAGATTGGAGTAAGAGAATATTTTTGGCGCAGTTAATTTGGCATGAAACCGTCATGTTGTAAAATCATGTGTAAAGGAATATTTAGGGCAAAGTTGCCTGTGTTTCATCCCTTAGCTGTAAACATAAACAGTAATAAGGTGCGGTTAGGGGCAGAAATCATCAGTACAGCTCCCTAGCCGCAATGTAAAAAAGTTAGGTGATAAGGTGTTAGAGGGAAAGACACTAAAAATGGAAAGCAGTAGAGAAAAGTCAAATCAGCGCTATTCCACGAAATTATGGGTTTAATTAATTAAAAGACAAAAATGCGAGCTTATCAAGCTGTACTGTTTTTGAAGGTAACTTACCATTCCCATCGCTGTGTTGCCTGCTGCTTTGCTGGCATGGAATTGCATGCTTGTTGTAAGCAAATTGCTGGTGAGTACGGGTCAAGGAAAGGCAAACAACCGATGTCAGCAGTTTGTAGTGCATCTTCGGTGAATTGTCTTATCCGAGTCTGGTGTGAATTAATTCACACATAAGAAGAACCGACTGAATGTGAGTGCGATGAGAGATTGCTTTAGGGACTCATTAGCAGCTACAGTTGTCAGAAATTCCGTTTGCATGCTGCCTGTGCTAAGGTTACTTCATTAATTTGTTGTTTTCATCACCTGCACATGCATCTTTCCGAAGAACGTTGTTTCCTTCCTCGCTTTT